GCCCCCCAGCACAGCAATGGAGCTGTGGGGCAAGGTCAGTCCTAAGCCAAACCGTCTCCCCAGCTCCATGCGTTCGCCCTGGTCCCAGCCACAGGAGAGGTCCCTGAACCCCGCGACTGGCGTTCAGCTGGGGCCGTGCCCGTGCCTCTGCCGGGGCCTGCGTCCGTCCCACTGTGCGTGCGCCTTGGCTTCACGCAGCCCTGGCAGGATTTGGTGAGACAGAGCTGGGCTCTCCGCAGTGCTGAGCCCCGAGGGGGAGGGGGACACTGCTGAGCTCCTCACAAGTCTGGCCTGGGCCAAGTCGCCATCCTCATCACCTGTCTTCCCGCAGCGTCGGGCTGGAGCCATTCTGGCTCTGGCCGGGTCCGGCTCTGCCAGCCACAGTCTGACAGGCAGCAGAATTCTCTGCTGGGTCGCACGGGAACGCCTGCAGCAGACACTCACACGCACGAGCTCTGTGTCTCCTATCCATTGTCTTTACGTCACCATCAGAGCGATGGATGACCCGGCACACACAGCCTAGACTGATCCACGCCCTGCTGGAGCTGCAGCCTGACTCACCCCTGCTGGGGGCGTTCGGGGCTGCTGGGTACTGAGCATCTGTAGAGCGATGGGCCCCAGTCTCCTGCTCTGGGCACCCCTGTGTATAATGTGACTCTGCCTAGGCTTCTTAGGAAAAGCTAGAGAATAAGGCAGAGAATAGTTTATTTCCTCTCTATAAATCCATGGCACACCCACATCTGGAATTCTGTGTGCCCATGTGGTCATCTCATCTCAAAAATATCTTGGCATTGGGAAAAATTCAGAAAAAGGCAACAAAAATGAGGAGGTGTTTGGAATGGCTGCCACACGAAGAGAGATTAATAAGACTGGGACTTTTCAGCTTAGACAAGAGGAGACTAAGAGGGCTATAAAATCATGACAGGTATGGAGGAAGTGAATAAAGAAGACTTATTTACTTCTTGTCATAACACAAAAACTAGGAGTCACCAAATGAAATGACTAGTTAGCAGTGTTAATCTGTGGAACTCCTTGCCAGAGGATTTTGTGAAGTCCAAGACTGTAACAGGGTTCAAAAAAGAGCGAGATAAATTCATGGTTAGGTCCATCAGTGGCTATTAGCTAGGATGGGCAGGGATGGCATCTATAGCCTCTGTGTGTCAGAGGCTGGGAATGGGTGACGTTAGGGGAGGGATCACTTGATGATTCCCTGTTGTGTTCCCTCCCTTTGGGGCACCTGGCCGTGGCCCCTGTGGGTGGACAAGACACTGGGCTGAATGGACATTGGTCTGACCCCGTGTGGCTGGTCGTGCCTATGTTCTTATGTTCCCTGAAGGTGTCAGCCCTTTTTTCTGTATTGGGCTGTTGTCTCCTAGAAACAGCAGGGACCCCAAATTCTACAGGTCACAGAGGGTCTCTTTTTTCTCATTAGCCTTGACACAACCTGAGTCCCGTGGCGAAGACACATGCAGGAGACGGATGGGCCTCTGCAGCATCTGCATGATTTAAAATGAATCTTTGGTCACAGTCTAGGCACTTGGTGCCTCTCTTCCCATAACCTTAGGGCACCAGGTCGCGCTGTGGGCAGCATTTCTGAGCTCCAAGGTCTAAAATTGCAAAGTTAAAATCTTGCAGGTCTTAGCTTCCAAGCCTCGTGCTGCAGCCTTTCTTGCTTGGGTAGCTAATGCCCGATTCCTCTAGTACATCCAGGTTCCTGCAGCCTAACGCTGCTGAGCAAACCAGGCTTACGTTGAACCTGCCACCTTAATGAATCGTCACACTGCACCAGACATGGACAAAACACGCAAGTCACACGCTACACAGGACACCAGGCAGACGCTAAACCCAGCCACCCCTGTCCTGGGCCCGTTTCACATTCAGATGTAATAAAGCTGCTTTGGCCATTTCTGTGTTACAGCATGTGCCTCTGGGGCAGCCACTGGTGTTTCTCGCCCTCCGAGCGCCGAAGGAAAGCCCGGGTAGGTTCGCGGGCGGAGCTGCGGCAGAAGCCAGCAGGGAGCTATTGACAGAGCTGGCAGGGACCCAGGGCAGAACAGGGCCTGTAAGACATGCTCAGTTACTGTCACCGCTGGGTGCTGATGTGCTGGGCCACTGGCCAGCCCGTCACATTTGTCTGGCGAGACGTGGCCGTTGTGGGCGCCGCTGGCTTCCACAGCCTGGAGCCGTCTGCTTTCTTCTCTCCTGGCTTATGAAACTCACTGAGAGGAGCCCCCTCCGCCCGGGCTCAGAGCCGCTGTCCTCACGGGAGCCCAAAGCAACGGCCACGTCCGGCCTTCGTGTGACAGGGAAGTGGCCACCGAGTTGCCGTGTCTCCAGTTTTCCCCTTATGACGCCCAGGCTGAGATCCCTCCCCACCTCACGCCCACACACTCACGTTTGTCCGCAGTGCGGCTGGTTTGGCGCCTAGCACTCTGGGTCACTTCGAGCTGCCTGGGGACCCGGAGCCCCAACAGTTTTACTGAGGCCTGAACCTTCCCCGGGCCCCGCGGTTTGGCTGGGACAGGCCTGGGGTTGGTGGAAAAGGTTCCTGCCGTGGCTGTTTGTGATTCGTAGCATGACGCTCCCCCACAGCAGGGGTGCCTGATGCCTGCAGGGAGGAGGGGGCTCAGGGAGACCACCCAGAGAGCAGGGGTGCAACCTAGTTAGCAGGGGCACAGGAACTACCCTGCGTCACCTAATGCGCCCCAGCCTGCAGCGTGCGCCCCCCGTCCCAGTGGGAGCTCCCCTGCACACTTAGCTGTGCTCCTGGGAGGGTTGCTGATCTGTGCGTAGCCTGCATCCCCTCCTAGCCTGATGTGCAGATCCAGGGCTGGCTTGGGGGTCGCCTGAGCTTGCTGGCCCCCCATTCGTCGGCAGCTAGAGAGGGCTGGCCAGGAAAGCTTGTCCTGGAACGGTGCTGCTGTTGTACTTAAAAGAAGTACTCGGGATCTTTTTCAGAGGGATAAGGCAACACGCCACATTTATTGTTCACACATAGAATAATCAATACTTATCATATGCATATGAGATATGTATATGTGTCACTCACACACACACACACACACACACACACACACACAAGCACACTCCGTCTTGCTGTTGTTACCAACTAGTTGCTCCCCTTAACTTCACTGGCCAGGTGAGTTAGATGGGGGAGGGGTGGAGCCGGGCTTCTGCCGATCCGGATCGATGCTCCGATGGTGACAAGACGAAACCCGGGGTCCTCTGCAAGACGCCTCACTTTTATAGCAGCCCTCTCATATGCAAATGTACCCCAGATTCAAAATCTGGGTCTGTGTCCGTCGGTCCCTTTGTGATGCTTCTCTCTGGGTGTTGTCTGTTCAGCGAGGAGGTTTTCCAAAGAAGGTGCCTGCTTCTGCTTCTAATCCCCAAGGCCGTCAATATGTCTGTGTCTGCTCTTCTTTCTTCAGCCCACTTGACACTAGGGCTGTGTCTACATTGGCACCCCTTTCCGGAAAAGGGCTGCTAATGAGACACTTCGGAATTGCATTTACATGGCTGCTGCTTTTTTCCGGCTCAGGGCTTTTGCCGGAGAAAAGCGCCAGTGTAGACGCGATTCTCCGGAAAATAAGCCCTTTTCTGGAAGATCCCTTATTCCTACTTGAGCATGTGGCTCTGAGAGACAGGACAGGGCCTTTCAAGTGGGAATAAGAGATCCTCCGGAAAAGAGCTTATTTTCCAGAGGATCGTGTCCAGACTGGCGCTTTTCTCTGGCTTATCTACAAGCCGGAAAAAAGCGGCAGCCATGTTAATGCAAATGCCGCGGGAGATATTTAAATCCCCCGCGGATTTGCCTATTCCAAAGTGCTACATTAGCATCCCTATTACGGAATAGGGGCCAATGTAGACACAGCCATATACTACATAGATTTATCTACACTGCCGTTGGAGGGAGCTCGGCTTCCCAAACAAATGCTGGTGCTAGAGTTTGCTCTCTCCGGGAGCTGGGAGAAAAGCCAGGCGAGGACATTCCCCGAGGGCCCAGTGCATTAGCCAGACACAGAGGAGCGTCAGTGTCAATTCCATGCTCCCCCCAGAATTCCTGCATGACCCGGTCAAGTCCCTCACTTCCTGGGGGTAACAGCCTTGTCCTGCCTCAAGGGGCAGGTACGTATAGAGCAATCCACCTCTGCCCCTTGTGGATTGGATTCTTTCCCTTAGTAGTCCTCAAAATTCTTTCCCAACTGCCATTTTCCCCAGTGTATGGGCAGGGAAACTGAGGCACAGGAAGGGCAGTGAATTGCTCAAGGCCACCCAACAGGTTAGCAGCACAGCCAGGATCAGAACCCAGGTCTCCTCCCCCCAGCCCTGGGCTGGCCCCTTGGCCACATTCCCGTGCTCTGCAGGTCAGTGGCAGGCCAGGGATCAGAAAATTCTTTCCCAACTGCCATTTTCCCCAGTGTATGGGCAGGGAAACTGAGGCACAGGAAGGGCAGTGAATTGCTCAAGGCCACCCAACAGGTTAGCAGCACAGCCAGG